GTGCTGATTGCTGATTGCTTATTGCTTAAAAATATATATATAAACTTTTGCAGGGAACAATTTTTCTTTATTTGATTGAGTGTAAAAACCAAAAAGAAGTACCTATAGATCTTTGTAATTGATGAGTAGATATTCAAAATTTCATTAGGCCGAGGAATATACCCTTTGACCTTAGAAATCCTCTAGTTTCTTAAAATCTCCATAGCTTCTTCAATGCTTTCTTTACAAAGGCCAAACAAAATCCTTTACAACCAGAGAAGAGTAAATCCTATTTAAAAATCACTTTCTTAAAAATATCAATAAAAAGATGATTCTGCAAAATAAAAATTTCAGTATTCCTTGACTGAGTTGAAAGGAAAATATCGTAGCAATTTTTGTAAGGGCATATCGTGAATACAAGTCTGAATCTGCCTTTGAATTTGGAACCTAGTAAAAGCTGCTTTAAATTTGCTAGGATGGTAGAGATTCAGGAGTCTCTCTGAACATAGTAGATTGCAGCACTGTGGCTTTTATTTGTGTCATGATCTCAATATATCTATTTGTTTATGCTGAGAAACGGATATGCAGATACTCTCTACTGATAAGTAGCATAACATCAACTGGGTGCCAAGAGCGTTGTATTTTTAAGGCTAACACTTAACTGAAGGAAAACAGAAGTAGTGTAAGGAGACAGGAATCTGATCCCATAATAAGCAACTACTACCTCATTCACAGCTTTTTATTGCAGGTGAGGCCCTTAGCGACCTGATCTAACTCTGAGTCTAGACCTGCTAACTATATGCTGCCTGACTTGGCCTGTTTTATTTTCTGAATAGAAAACAGGAAGGATGTGTACTTTCTTACCTTTTCTTCTAGCCATACAGGAGGAAGAAAATCAGACTCTGTTTGAAGCTTCATTTTGTATGGCTGTGTTTGACGCTTCCATTATCACAGAATCACAGAATCGTTTAGGTTGGAAGGGACCTCTGGAGATCATCTCGTCCAACCTCCCTGCTCAAGCAGGGCCCTCTAGAGCATATTGCCCAGGATCGTGTCCAGGCGGGTTTTGAATATCTCCAGCGAAGGAGACTCCACTACCTCTCTGGGCCACCTGTTCCAATGCTCTGTCACCCTCACAGTGAAGAAGTTTTTCCCCAGGTTCAGGTGG